TAGGCGCAATCTATGTTTCTTTTATCGTCTAAGAAAAATTAATTGCTTAGTTCAGTGCACGGACTTCGAAAAAGTAAGTGGTAGATAGTTTTTACTCTCGTTTAGAAAAAATCAAGGCGAGCAGCTGGATGTTCACCACGGTTGTTCTCAATGTGAAAATGGTGTATTTGTTGTAATTCTTACTCATTACGCATAAAATTTGCTAGTTTATATTTTGTTTTTGTACTCCTACTATAACATTGTATGAATTCGCCTTGGTATAATTTTTTTTTTTTTTTTTGTTTTTTTATAAGACAATAAAAATATATATTTTACACAAATAAAACATTCAACCAAAAAAAAACGCATAGATAAAACTGGGTCCGAATCACGGCATTCGCGATTAAATGAGACTCTATTCGAATCGAATTAAATAAAATTACAGCTATTTTCTTTCATTTTGAATTTAAAAAGCGAACTCGCTACCAAACGCCGTAATCTCAAAAAAAAATATATATATATATTCGAATTTGATTCAATCACGGATGCCATAATTCAGGCCTGATAGAGAAGCCATTTCATTTTTATTTCAGGTGTGTTCGATGACAAATTATGTATACACTGCGTTCATTTAAATCTCTTTGCTTCCTTTCCGGATAATATTGGTAGATTTTTAACTTTTGTTGGTAAAAATGGTAGAAAATAAAATGCAGCCAAAAATTTGGTAGATCTACCAATAAAGTGGTAAAGTCCGTGCACTGGTTTAGTTCTTATTCATAAGGCCCAATGAAAGAAAAACCTTTTTTGCCGCCCTTGCCAATAAAGCGAAAAAGAGGCTACTTAGATTTACAAGAAAGAGCCTGTCCAGAACAACGCATTCGTGGCTAGCTAAAATTTCAGGTGAGACTTTTTTTCAGAAATGTGCCCTTTGCATATAAAGAATTTCTTCTTCTAAGAATTCTGATGAGTAATTCGACAGTTCATTAAACGGAATCGCCGGAGAGTGGCTGCTTAGAGCGAGCGCTACCATTTTGCCTAGCGCCTCGATAGTTTTTTTTGTCGTGCACTCGGCCGAAGAAAGCAAATCTAATCAGCGCCTGTCCGATATCGAAATTTATTTCCGGTCGGAAGATTATCAAGTAAATGAATAACCTGTAACAAAATGTTCTACCTACTTCATAGTTAGTATGGCGGTCGTTGTAGCCAAGGTGCGTACTATACACCACGTCCTAGAATCTACATAAATAGGTTCGATACCTGGAACGAGCAACATCTAAATTTATGCAGGTTCCTTCACAGTTTTTCTAGCTCACTCACTAAAAAAAAAAACAAACGACAAATAGTCAAAACAGGTCAGGATGTTGGGGTGTTGTTACTTTGACCAAAACTATTTATATGCATGGCATCTAGGCATTCACATGTGTTGAATTTTGTAAGAGATTTAGCATTGTCTGTGTGCGAGTCTTAAGCTTTCGTACTGCTTTTTGGATAGCCAACACTTTTGCTTAATATAAACGAGGATTTGAAAAAGGGTTTTTAGCTTTCAGTTCAGTTGAGTAAACTCCCTCCGATGACTTTCCGCTTGAAGTTTGAATACTGATTCTGTAGTAGGGAGGGTAAATAATTTACTTATCGATCAGATGGTAACCACTTTTTGTAAGGCTATTTAAACCTTTTGACCTAGCACCTGATCCTCCTCAATAAGATGTGCTTCTTTAATTCGATGAATTAATAATAAAACCACCTAGAACGCTGCGCTCATCATAAATAAAAAAACATATTTCTACTCAGCATATATGTGGATTGGTTCTAATTCCATTCCATTAGCTATCTATATATTTAGTTTCAGGCAGTATCAGAAATACCGAAAAATATTCTTCTGCTTATCGTCCAAATAATATTAGCACCAGTCATTCCAGACCACGCTCAGCTTAGATGAGTCTATCAGACTAAAAAAACTAGAGTGACTATGCAAAAGTCTTGCCTCATTTGGCTTAGTAGAGGCATAATATCTAGTAATAGAAAAGATTAAGTAATAAATGTTATATCAAGTGTATCGATTAGCGCTTCAAATGAATTCAAGTTTCATTAAAAAAAAAAAAACTAATAATACTCGTATATAGCCATCGTCCTCAACTCATTTTACGTGCACCACTTCCGAACCACTTAATTGCACTACTGGATAAATATTTAAGTAAATATGCATGTACGAGTATAAGTACACATATACAGTTCATGCGTAAATGACATTTTATCAATGTCACATATCATTTATTATTCACACGCTAATAATTTCAAATAAATGGCTTTGTCTACAACTATTTAGGTTTTGTTGACGAAATTAAGGTATTTACATACATATATATGTGCTTAGTTATTTGTTTTATGAAATTAGTTTATAAAACTGTATGCATGCTAATGCGATAAAATATTTTTGCCAGTGACTAAGGTTTCATGGAGCCAAAATTTCTTCAATTGTCTCCTTATACTTTCAACGTACTCGTCTGATTAATAGCGATTAGTTCAACCTACTACATACTACTTTTTTAATTAAGAGCTGTGGTTTACTGGGCTACTAGTCATAGCTTGTTTTGCTGTAGCAAGCCCACCAAATGTCTAATCCATGCTTGTCTGGCTTTTTTGGCATGCATTACCGAAGAGAACATTTCCCGCGAAATTGGACAAGTTGCCCGACAATAGTTATATTTTCCCCTGGAGTGTAAAATTTCTTTAGGTTACCTTTGATAATTTCAAAAATATATCTCTTTTAGGTGCCTGTTTATCTTTTTGTTACCGATCGCTTCTAGTTGTAGGTATTGTCGTCAAAGCCTAGATTCTTTGAAATTTCATTGAAGCAATTTTGGCTCATTGTCGCGCAGAAATTTGGTCAATCAAGCATAGCAAGAATCAAAAATCAGCAAACCCCGAACAAATATTTCCCATTAAATGTAACTCAATCGAGTCCAAAGGACTCACAATTTATTTTCTTCCGGTGGCATGACAACTTTGTTCAAAGGGCACGGAACTATATAAATTTCAGTTTTTCCGTTTCATGTAAGTAATATATATTCCAAATTTGAACCTTATCGGACCAGAAATACGGATTTTTCAAATAGGTCGACACCTGTGCCACCTAGCGGATTAATTTGATTACACACAGGTGAAACGTAGTAATAAAAGTTTGTAACAAAGCAATTGGATCTAGCAGTTTTATAATAAATCAAATTCGGTTTGAAATATTTTTATTGGAAAAAAATATAAGAAATTAAGATTAATCGTTGCAACTTGTAGACGTCGTCTTTATCTCTGAAGTTTGTACAGATTACTTTGCTAGTCTTAAAATATTCAGACCCATTAGAATTATGTCCTTCATGCTGAGATGTCAGGAGGGATTGATTAAGTTGTGCGTTCATAGGGAGGCGCTATCATCCACCCCTCTGTCTTTGCATCAACATACCTATCAGGCGGGAAACCTTATGAGACGGCTTGGCAAAATCTGGTTGCCAAAATTAGTTATACGATCATCTTGAAAGACTTCGCCTTGGGCATTTTTATAAACGTTGAGGATGCTTTTGACAATTCCACCTTTTTTAGCAAAAACCACTCAGCACTTAAATAGACTAAAAACATAGTGGGGCGGGGAGCAAAGCTTGAACAACAAACGAGTATGTACGCTTTCCTCTTCACTCTGCGCTCTCCCATTGAAACATATACGTTTGTAATTGACGCTTTGCTCGCCGCTCCACTTTGTTTTTAGCCTAAGGCATGGAGTAGATTATGTGCTGGTAAATTGGTTCGTCTAATGCTCGCGTAGAGAGTCGTTAGAATTCAGGCAGAAGGGGGGGTCAGTATGTCCTGTGCGGATTCATTAGGGGCTGTCCTCAGGGTGGCCTGCTTTCTCCCTTGTTTTGATCCTTATCAATTTAATCCCCTGCTGTTCAAACGCCCATATAACAGGCCCTTTTTCTAAGTTGTCTGCATGAAAACGCAAATAATACTGGATATGATTTATACTTCGTGTAGTGAGAATCGGCTGGAGGGATGTCAGTGGCAAAAATGTATCGATTTATTTCTTTGATTCGAGGCCTCGAATGTATCTACAGCGATATTTTTCAATACATCGAAGGGTCTTATCAATTTGCATAGGATTTCTCTGACATTATTTCACAACAAAATATGTTGTTAGCAAAATTATACAAAATCTCAAATTAATTACCATAATTCAGCTAAATGTGTTTCTCAGAGAACTCTTTGGAGCCATTTAAAATTGGAAAACTTTGGGCGCTTTGAGCGACATCTAAATATTTTTTGATTTCAAAATAAAAAATATATAAAATTCCAACATTACTTTTTCACATGCATTTTTGAACCACTCTAATGTATATACATAAGTAAACATAACATAAATACACATCTTTCGAGACAATAATTAAATGCCTTTTTTATTTTTTCAGACTTTATAGTGAATGGTGAAGCGGTTAAAGTACAAACAGATCAAATAACCGTTAAAATTAAGTGGAAAGCAGAAAAGGGCAACATAACAACGAAAATTTAATCTAAATACATATTAAAGAATATTAGAAAAAAAAAACTCAAAATATAACAAGAATTAATTTATTGTTTATAATTAAATATATATATTAAAAATAATTTAAATTATGTGAGGTAAAAACGCCAAACTAATGACTACAAAAAAAACAGAAATTTTAAATATATTAGCACACCAATAAAGAACTGCATTTTGCACAGTTGGCCCATAAAACAATAATTCGATCGTGAAACTCTAAAGCTAAAACCGGCTAAAATGGGCTGTGCACCAGCTTTTAAATTTCCGTAAAACAGCGTAGACTAATGAATTTCACCAGCTGGCTAAAAACATTTTTGTAAATAAATGTAACGGCTACGGCATAAATACTATTACCAACAACTAAAATATATTCGCAGCAACGGCAACTTTACAAACAAGCAACGCAACGATGCATACATTTTGGCGCTTAGCAAATGGCACACAAAACGCCAAAATGACGCAAATAAAATTGCGTGCGCCGAGAACAAATTCGACAATGACAACGACAACGACGACGACGACGAGGGCACGATTTGCAACGCGAACGCACGCCACAACGGCCGCAACGGCAACGGCAACGGCAACGGCAGCGACAGCAGCGCCATCGCACATAATGAAAATGAAACGGAAACGTAAAATACCGGAAATTTCATTGCTAATTGCAGCAATTTGGATTAACAGCTTCTGGCCGTGGTCAGGCCGTGGCGGTGGTGTGCCGCTCGCCTACTGTTCGCATATGCCCGGCTCAGCTGCGGCAGCATTGGGCGGTGTTGCCGCCTATACAGTTGATGCTGCACACCTGCATGCCAGCGACATGCATCACAGCCATCACTACGACGATGGCGGTGGGGGCAGCAGTAGCAGCATGGAGAATATGGCAATGCATGGCGGTGGTCATGACATGGGCGGTATGCCAGAGGAATCGGAGGAACGCGATCATATCGCCCATCATTTTGGTAAGTTTTTTTTTTTTTTGTGCTCTTAATGAATTTTTCACAAACTCCATTTATGTACATGTCAAACAGTTGAGTGTGTGGGTGAGCAAAATAATTTCAGCGTTGTTATTTGTGTGCCTCGGCAGCGCAAGGGGGTGCATGATTTCTGGTTTTTGCGGCTGTTTAGTGGCTTGTTTTTGTTAATTGCGCGCATTTTGTTAGCTCCATAAAGGTAACATTATCGTTTCGGTTAAGCGGATTTTCTGCGAATTAATGTTGTCTAAAAGCTGTGTACGCTAATGGCGACAGCAGGGCCACAGAAAATTGAATATCCTCAATAAAATTCGAATGTGTAGTAAACTTAGAGAGTAGAAAATATTCCTATTTGGAATTAACGGTCTCTTATATATGTATGTATGTTAGACTGCATCACTCCCCATACAAAAAAAAATCGGTACTATTTTTCCATTGGAATTATAAAATCTATTATATTTTAAGACGTCCACCAAAATATTTCGGAAAAATATTAAGATTTAAGTGAGCTGGACCGATTTGAAAATACCTCCAAAAATCTAGTTTTTTATGAATAAAAATAGTTTCTTAAAGATTTTTTTTTGAAAAAATCCCCTCAAATGATAAAACGGTTTAAGCTTAAAATATTTGCATAAAAATATATTAAAAATCGTAATGATGAGATTTTTGATGCTGTTTTTCAACTTTTTTCAAAGATTGGTATAGGAAAAACTTGAATAACTGAACCTAAACTCTTCCGATTTAGACTTAAGAGGTGTCATTGGAAAGGTATTTTCTCACCCTTTTTATTTCTTTGCTAATAAATTCATTCAAAGGATGGAAGGGAAAGGTGGGATGAACGAACGTCATTCAAAGTTGAATTAAGATGTGTCGGTATTCGAAAAAACAAGATGGGACACGAATGACGTTTTTTTGGCCAGAAATAAAAACAGTGTGAAAATACCTTTCTACTGAGATCCCATAAGTCTAAATCAGAATATTTTTGGCCCAGTTATTCAAGTTTTTCGTAAACCAATCTTTGAAAAAAAAAAGTAAAAAAACAGCATCAAAAATCTCATTCTTACGATTCCGTTGAAAAGATTTTTAAATATTTGTATGCAGATTTTTTAAGCTTAAGTTGTTTTGTCATCTGAGGGGACTTTTTTCAAAAAGTTCTTTAAGAAACTATTTTTATTTATAAAAAAAACTACATTTTTGGAGATATTTTCAAATCGGTCCAGCTCACTTAAATCTTAATATTTTTCCGAAATATTTTGGTGGACGTATTAAAATATAATAAATTTTGTAATCCCGGCGGAAAAACTGCAACTTTTTTTTGTGATGCAGTCTAATGTATGTACATAATCTATATACTTTTTTCAAAAATCTATATACTTTTTTCTAAAAGGTATTTTTCTGTAACCCAGTGATATCATTTGGAAGGGGAGAAGTTAGCGTACCTGCGAAAGCTAGTCACGTTGTTCAAATTTAGTTATTTATCAAAAAAATGGGGGTTTAAAGAGCTGAAAGCACTGTATCCGGCCATATCTTCCATAATACTTCATCAAATTGAACGATTGAAACACTATTTTGAAGGACAGTTTCGCTGGTAGAGGTAAATGATAACAACTTTTTAATAGGGTTGCCATTCGCTTAAAAGTTTTGGGACTTATATATATATCGACTAAAATATTGCAACGTATTCAGGGAATGCAAAGCATTTAAATTCACTCTTAACCAGAATTAGTAATTTTGAATAGGGTTGCCAAATATTTGAAAATTTAAATCTCTATACCGAGTATAGCTCTAGAATAGAACTGGCTTATATAAGCTGTATTTTTTGTTGCGTTTGTCTGTCTCTTCACAAGGAAAATTGAAAATATTTTCCGAACAGAAAATTCCGAACAAATTGCTTTTCCATAGATTTTGTACACGACATTTATTTTATTTCTTTAATTTTGATCGTAATATTACCGTTGAAATGGTTGTCCAGATACAAAAATTGTATGTATGCTAAACAATTATTCAGATTAGAGTGCGTTGTAAATTATTACCGGTTCAATTTACAATTTCTGGATTTGAACAATGTACGTATTATGGAATTTTGATTAAAAGTGCAAAATCAAAAAAAAAAAATTTATTTCTTTTCCGTGTATGCGATGTATGTGTTCGTGTATTTTTCGAGCGAAACTCACGATAGGTACGGTTGAATGAGAATATTCTTTTGTGAATATGGTTCGATTGCTTCTCATCGCGAATTCATGCAGGACGACCTCAGGAGGAACCAGCTCATTAGCAACTGAAATAAAAGCGGAATCCTGCGATCTACATTGTTAAATGAGAAAAAATACCGTGAAAGTCCAATTATTTCGACATGCCGCACCACTGAGCATATCGAAATTCTGTGTGTTACAATTGGTCCAGCAAATCACATCTCTAATTTCACAATGCGTAAAACTTTCACTCGGAGACAATGGGATTGAGATCTGCAGGGGTTAAAATCAAGTTACTACAGTCAAATCAACCATCAGAACCCCTGAGCTCATTGCTTTATGGCGATTTACCATAAATAAGTCTCTGTATATAGGATTTATGTGGACCCGTTTCGAACTTGCCACCAACTATGCTAAATTTACAGATTCATTGAACCAGATCATTGTACCAGATAGTGAATGAAGAGAAAAACGGCTTTTAAAATGTATTTCGTTGGCAACTCTAATATCGATCATTGGAAATTTGCAAGAATTTCGTCACGGCCAAAACGATTTCGTTAGGTTATTTAAAATAGCGACGGACGATATGCCTTCTGACGACCACCAAAACCATATTTAGATCAGACAAATGTGCCATGTGTTTAAATGAATACTTGGTGAAAGTGTGGTTCCTACAAAAAATTAGATTTGGGCGAGACGAAGTTCGCCGGGTACGCTAGTTTAGTAATATTATGGCAAACAAAAAAAAAATGAGGGAAGAATTTGAAAAAAATCACACATATACACATCAAAATTCTCCAAAAAAGAAATTTATTTTTTTATTTTTTTTTTCTGGAAATTATTTTTTTTTATCAAAAAGATTGTATGTGAAAAATTAAAAAAAAAAAAACAATTTGAAAAAATATATTTTTCATAGAGAATTTTGATGTGTGTATGTGTGATTTTTCAAACTTTTTCGAGATATTTGGAAAACTGTTAAATCGATTTGTTTTTGGTTTTTAAAAATGTATAAATCAAGCTCATATTTCACATTTATTTATTATTTATGTTTGTCCATCAACCCTAAAAACTTTAAACAAATCAAACATTTTGGCATTTAACGCCCAAGATAACAAGAAACAGTTCCCCTCTTCACTTAGCTCATCCATATTGATTCTTCTTTTTAAGAAGTATGATCCTGGTAATAATACCAACTACAGCGGAATGTCATTGCCTGATACCTTAGAAAAACTTTTAAAATTATTTCTAAAAAAACTTCATTGCCTACCACACACATCTTCATCTGTAGGCAGGCTTACAGCGGCAATATCTTCATATCATCCGCCCGCATATGCTTTTTATTACTAAGTGCCTCAGCTTACCAAGAAATAAGTTGTCGCGCATCCTAGCGGAAGAGTGTCTTCAAAAGGGGGCTTATTGGATAAACAGCTGGAAAGATCTAGCAAGCAGCGTAAGTTTTCCTTTTATTTCCGATTTCTAGCCAAAGGAAGGACAACTACTTTTATTGAATTGACAAAAAAGTCAAAACACCAAAACATCAACGATAAATTTAGGGTCTATTCTGTTAGCTTAATGTTTCGCGCTAGTGGATTTTTCTGAACCTCAATGCAAGAGCTTATAAGAATGTGCCTTCTTCGGTCTGCCCATTGTGCAATATGGGCGTGCCGTTAAGCATACACCACTTCATTTGCACGTATCCGATTTATAACAATACCTTATCGGACCCGTTTCCTTGGTAAAGATCGTAACATAACCTAACCTAAGTACTAACTATCTGAGGCTGAGTGTCAGTTTTAATCCCAAAGACTATGAAGTTACAAATGAGTCATTGTGAGACGGGTGAGAGCTTCTAATGTCTAAGCTTTTTGGACAAGGAAAAAATGATCAATCTTCTCGCTACTCATAGTGCAGTTTTCTTTCTCGTCCAACAAGTACCTTAAGGAAAGAGCGTTTCTACGCTTTCGCAGAAGGCTAGCTAAGGATAACTCTTAGACTTTCTTATTTCACACTAAGCTCTGCTTTGTTCATTTCGCAACCATTGGGTGACTTAGTGCTGTGTACTCTATAAAAGAGCCGTCTGCTTGACGATCTGAGATCAGAGAGTAACGCCAACCACCATGCAAGTTGGTTATCCCACGATGTAGTGTTCTTGGCGAATTTGACAGAATCAGTTGTTCGTGTGACGTCATTTTAGCAAACTGTTTGTATGTATGCAGAGATTTATTTATATGTATGTAAATATGGCGACCTCTATGGTTTGACAGTTAACACTCTTTCTCTCCTCCATCTCCAATTACTCTTTCCTATTCGTTGCTATCTTGACGTCATCACCCGCAGGAATGCGGAATCTTGTATTCTATCATTCTTGGGTTATCTATAAATTTCTGAAGGTTGTGCTAATAGAAGAGTGTTCTCCAGGAAAAACTTAATATACCTTTGGACCGAAAGAAAGTAAGATTTGTCTATTGTTCAATCCAAAAGGCGAAGAACCACAACATTACAAAACAGAATGAGATTTAGAATGAGAACCTCTGCACGGTGAGAGTTACAAGAATGGGGATATTTTCCATATTACCAACGGCTTTCTCATCGGCTCTAAATGTATCTTCAGCTTTCTGAAATTCACCGTCCTGATAGATCAAAAGCTTGGGGGATGTAAAGGTGCGACGGAGGCGTAAAAGAACGAACACGATGACGAAAACGGAGACAAATAAGAAGTTGAACTTGAAGACAAAGGTAAATACAAAAACGGAAACGAACCCAATGATAAATACGAACACGAAACAAGCGCGACGA